TGTCTATTACAAATGGTTCCTTATATAGATGTAGGTGTAGTGGATGGTGGTAGTGGTGTAGTGGGTTAGGTTTAGTGGAGTAGGTTTAAGTGGGTGAAGTAGGTGATAGGTTTTAACACAAAGCATTGATTTTTTGTAGCAGGAAACTTTCTGCCCATTTTTGTCTAGTGGATTGTGATGTTGCTACTGGCATCATCATCTACTTGTATTTGTGAAGTGTCACAAAAACATACCCATGCATCCTTTTTAATGTTGCTGGTTGTGTTTTTATTGAAATTTCATTGAAGGAAGTGTGATTTGGGCATTGGCCAATATTTGTGGTTCCTATTTTAGCAGAGATTTGGTGTGTTTATGTAGAATAGGTGTTACAGCCTTTGGCATATGCCCAAGCCTCTCCTGATGTGAGAGATTTTTTAATGTATAATAGGTGTTGTGTTTTTGTTGGCCTAGACTCTGTGAGAGGTTAAATATTAATGTAGGCTTGTAATGTGTGAATGTGATGCCTTTTGATTTTTTCTCGAGTTTCATTTTACATTTTCTTTTTTGGTAATTAATTTCTTACTAACCAAAAACAATTGTTTAATTATGTACCTTTTTATTGTATGTTCTTTAAATTTTATTTATTTAATTTTTACCTGGCCATTCTCTCTTATATATATATATATTGACCTGGTCATTATGTGCTCATGAGTTTGTGTGATATGGTTCCTGCACTTATTTGATGAGTTCCCGCCCATTTTTGGCTCTCTAACTAGCTCTTATCTGCCCCATCCTTCTTAGCTTCTTGGGAATATTGAACTCCTGGATTTCTTGGATTAATTTGTTCAAGTTTCTTCTTGACTCTTATCCCTTTCTAATATTTCATTTCTTCCCAGCCTGTCAGATAATGCATATACTATGGCAGCAGAGGTGTTGAAGAAGTTGGTTGCAATTGCTCCATCTCACTGTCGCCTGCTTATCACTGAGCTAGCGGATTCTATGCAAAATTTGACCAAGTCTGCAATGGATGAGTTGCGCATTTTTGGAGAAGCAGAAAAAGAACTACTCACTACTATATCATCTGGTGGTGCCGCAATTTTGAGGGTCTTGCAGGCATTAAGCTCGCTCTTTGCCTCAATTTCTGAGAAAGATAAGGATCATCAAATTCTATCTGAAAAGGAATACACTACTGCTATTTCTTTGGTATATGATATCGGTGCAGCTTTGGAGCCTTTGTGGCTGGAGTTGAGTGCTTGTATAAGCAAAGTAGAAAGCTATTCAGATTCGCCACACGATTTATCAAATAAATCTGTGATTTCAGCATATAAACCATCTGGTGTAATGCCTCCACTTCCTGCTGGTACTCAGAACATCTTGCCATACATAGAATCTTTCTTTGTGATTTGTGAGAAGTTGCAACCTGGGCAGTCAGTTGTGAACCAGGACCTTGGTAATGCTCTAGTTTCTAATGTTGAAGATGCCGCCACTTCTACAAGCCTGCAGAAAACTTCAGGGTCTGCTCTGAAAGCAGATGAAAAACACCTTGCTTTTGTGAAGTTCTCAGAGAAGCATCGGAAGCTCTTAAATTCTTTCATCCGGCAAAACCCTGGGTTGCTTGAGAAGTCTTTCTCACTCATGCTGAAGGTTCCACGCTTTATTGATTTTGACAACAAACGTGCACACTTTAGATCTAAGATAAAGCACCAACATGATCATCATCACAGCCCTTTAAGGATTTCTGTGAGAAGAGCTTACATTCTGGAAGATTCATATAATCAACTGCGCATGAGGTTGGCACAAGATTTGAAGGGGAGGTTGAATGTTCATTTCCAAGGAGAGGAAGGTATTGATGCAGGTGGACTTACCAGGGAATGGTATCAGTTGTTGTCCAGGGTTATCTTTGACAAGGGTGCACTACTATTTACAACTGTTGGCAATGAATCAACATTTCAGCCAAATCCCAACTCCGTTTATCAAACGGAACATCTCTCGTACTTTAAATTCGCTGGGCGAGTTGTGAGTATCTTTTCATTCATGGTTACTTGGTGAAGTTGCTAACTATATGCTTCTTGCTTATGTCTTTGCCTATATGTTTCAGGTTGGGAAAGCACTTTTTGATGGACAACTTCTTGATGTTCATTTTACTTGATCCTTCTACAAGCATATCCTCGTGGTTAAAGTGACTTACCATGACATTGAAGCTATAGATCCTGATTACTTTAAAAACCTGAAGTGGATGCTTGAGGTATGTTGCACACTGGAATGTCGCATGCACCGCGCACACAATATATATATATATATATATATCACTGTTTCCTTTGCCGAGGTCCACCAAACATTTGTCCTCTGTGCCTTGTTTACTTTTGCATAACAATACCACTGACGTTTTGGACCTTACTTTTAGCATTGATGCTGATGAAGAGAAACGGATATTGTATGACAAGACAGGTAATGAATTCCCTCAACTCCATGAGATGATCATTTTGTTCAACAATTGTTTGTCATATTTAAAATTTTGATTTACATAATATAGGTGACTGACTATGAACTGATCCCTGGTGGACGGAACATTCGAGTTACTGAGGAAAACAAGCATGAATATGTTGATTTAGTTGCTGAGCATCGTTTGACTACTGCTATTCATCCTCAAATAACTGCATTTTTGGAAGGATTTAGTGAACTAATACCTAGTGATTTGATATCTATTTTTAATGATAAGGAACTGGAACTATTAATTAGTGGGCTTCCAGATATAGACTGTGAGTTTTCTTTTGTTAAATTGATTATTTTTACTTTTCATTTCTCAATCCCAGGGAAGTTAAGGGATACTTTTTTCTAATAATATCATTGTTTTTCGGTGGATGACATGAAGGTGAATACGGAGTACTCTGGGTATAGTGCTGCATCTCCTGTCATCCAATGGTTTTGGGAAGTGGTTCAAAGTTTCAGCAAGGAAGATAAGGCTCGTCTTCTGCAGTTTGTGACTGGCACCTCAAAGGTATGTTTCTGTAGTGTTTTTTTGTATCCCTCAGTTGTGCGTGATACTTTGAAGTAAATTTTTTTTTTTCTTTTATAAGTAAATTTTAACTAAGTCCATTAAGTATATGAACTGAACTGTAACTAAATCTGAAAATACATAGTAGGGAAACAACCCAGAATTGTATGAGTCATAGTAGAGACTTATATCAACATGTTTGAAATTGGAATTCAAATTGCCATGGCTTGTATGTAAGCTGTCTTATTGGTCAAAAAACAGTTCTGCGAAGCTGTTCACAATTCTAAGAACATTATGAGAGGACAACTTTATCCTTAAATGATGTTATAAAGCTAGAGAGCAACTTCTCCCTCCTTTTTTGTAGTGTCAATTTCTTTCATAAGTAGTAGACCACAATAGTTCAGAATAAAAACCATGAATGTAGGGTGAACATGGTTGCAGTTTTTGCTGGCTATGCCATGGTGTGTTTTAGTGAGTAGTCTGCAAATTGTATTTATATCAGCTTCAATTTCCATGTATCCACCATTTACCTACTGAAAAAAAATTAGAACTCCATACTGATAACAGATGACAAAACTTGTGTATGTTAATTAATCAAAAGAAGAATTACAAAATATATAAACGAAACCCTAATAATCCCTAATAATCTAAAGTACTAAACTATCCTTAATGAATAATATAAACTACATAATTCACACCCCCCCTCAAACTGAGGATGCGAGCGCAGAAAGCATCGAAAGTTTGCCAAGAAGAAAACGAAAACGAGCAACAGTATGAGTCTTCGTAAAAAAATCGGCCAACTGAAGAGATGAGGGAACAAAAGGGAGAGTAATACTGCCAGCCTGAAGATGCTGTCTGACAAAGTGACAATCTATTTCAACATGCTTTGTCCGCTCATGAAAGACTGAATTATGGGCAATCTGGACAGCACTCTGATTATCACAATACAACGGAGTCGGATCAGAAAGAGAGACACCCATATCAGAAAGAAGCCAGCGAAGCCAAACGATCTCGGAAGTAGCATAAGCCATGGCACGATACTCAGCCTCAGCAGTGGAACGAGCAACAACAGATTGTTTCTTACTCTTCCAGGATATAAGGGAATCGCCAAGGAAAACACAAAGACCAGAAGTGGATTTGCGATCAGAGATGTCACCTGCCCAATCAGCGTCAGCATAGGCACGGAGAGTCAAGTCCGAAGAGGCAGATAACAGCAAACATTGCAACAAAGTGCCACGAAGGTAGCGCAAAGTACGAAGTAAGGCAGCCCAGTGCGTGGAACGAGTAGCAGAAACAAACTGACTGAGAATGTGCACAGCATAGGAGATATCCGGACGAGTAACGGTGAGATAAACAAGGCACCCAACCAACTCGCGATACAAAGTGGGATCCTCAAGAGGAACGCCATCAGAAGCAGAAAACTTAGCATGCAACTCAAGAGGAGTGTCAACAATTTTCTCATCAGTGAGATTGGCACGAGAAAGAATATCACGGGCATATTTAGTCTGAGAGAGAAGATAACCAGTAGGAGAAGTAGCAACCTCAATACCAAGAAAATACCGAAGAAATCCCAAATCCTTCATCTCGAACTCCTGAAACAACTGATGCTTAACCTCCTCAATAGTACTGTAATCAGAGCCAGTGATGATCATATCATCCACATATAAGAGAAGGAGAATTCCAAACACAACATTAGTACGAACTATAGAGCTATTTGCAATGGAAAGTCATGTAGTTTTAGGCCACTTGCATTAATCTACTGTCTGATATCTGGAATTCTTTTGAAGCCACTTTCAAAATATTTTTTAAATTGTTTTTTAACTAACAAATATCGTATAATAGAGCAGTAAATGATTGTATATCCTTTAACCACTCACTTTTATGTAGGGCTGGCATAAATGAGTTTTGATCGGTTGGTTGTTTAAATTTAAGATTGATTAATCTTTGATTATCAAAAGCATTAACAAAATGAATTATTAGAGTTCAAGCATGCCACATTAGATGCAAGTTGGAAGTAACCTGGAATTCACCTCTACGATATGCACCTCCATAAATTAAGAAAAAAAACTCTACAGTATGCACCTCCTTTTCATAAAAACCCTCTCTACATGGAATACAAGCTTTGTGACTCATAAAATAGGTACAAAAAATAAGAGGTATGTTTAGAAGTGTTCTAATTCCTTTGCTTAGTGGTGACAAATATGTGAGTTTTATCCCCTTAAAATCCAGATTATATTAAATTTTTTTTTTTTTAATTTCATTGTGTTTCTACGTTTGCTTTGAACTCGAGAATTACAGTGATAAGAGAACATTTTATCAATCAGGTCTTGTTTAATTGTTTTAACTCGTACACAATTTCATTTGATTAATTCTAAATGAACTAATTTAATTTGCATCAATGAGAGTTAACTCAAATAATAAGTTGTTCAGATTCTATCCCAAATGTCCTAGGTTCGGATTTTGATATTTTACATTACTCGATATATAAGGCTAATGAGTAGTTGCATATATCTCAAGTTTGTGGTCTTGAAGTGGAGAAATTGTTTTTTGCTTTTGGCGCAAAGTCATGTGATGCCCCGACTTATATTTATTGGTTAAAACAATGAGATTTAATACTTGGGAATTTCTATGTTAGTGTGTCTACTACATGTATCTTTAGTTACGACTTTTGAATTGATGGTTATAACTTACTGTATTATTAGTCATGACACATTATGATATTGGCTATGACAAAATTTTGGTTATGATTTAAGAGTTGTTTCGTAATACCTGATATGATATTTAGTTATAACTCAAATTTTTAAAGTTATGACTCACATAGTATTAAGTTATACCATTTATGATGATCAAACTTATAAATGACATAACATACATATGATACAAATTCTAGAGATGTGTGTTCTATAGTATTTCAACTAATACTTTTAGTTGAGTTTTTAAAGAATAATTTGAGTGTCAAGTAATAAATTGTATGGAGACTACCAAATTATTGCTCCTTAAAGTGGGTCCAAAAGACCTTACTTATCTGAGTCCACATCCTCTAGATTAATTTTTGGTATAGTAGTTTTAGAGTGATTTTTTGTATAGTTGAATTTCTTTTTTAAAGTAATTATCAATAGGATTGTACCATCAACATATTATTATACATTCAATGTTTGTAAAATTAAATTTTAACCATACAAAAAATAATTCTAAATTCACCCTACCAAAAATCAATCTAGAGGATTAAGATTCTAATTTTTTTTTTTAGGGAAATCCTACTGGACATGCCCCTTGAAAGGGTGTACCATATATACTCTTAATTATATTATTTTCTTTTTTAGTTATAATTAAAAAAAAATAATTATGATAATATTTTAATTGTAACTCATGAGATCTTTAATTATATATCATGTGATATTTAATTATAATTTTTTTAACTATAATTTAAAAAATATAAAATTATATTATTTTTTGAGAAGGGGACTTGTGCCGAACAGTAGGGCCGAGCTATGATAGTGCGGGTATAGTGTTAGGCCTTGCGAGGCCCAGGCCCTGTGACAGACCGAGCTGAACCAACGCGGCTCCCCGGCCCACCATGTTGGGCCGAGCAGATTGTCAACCAGAATACGGAGGCATGCAGGTGCTCGACCGAGCTACGATTCGGCCTGATATTTGGTTAGATCCACAGTGATGCGTTGGGCCGAGATGTTTTGTAAGGTAGCGGGGCGAGACCGAGATACCAAACTGCGCGTCTCATGACCGGTTAGTTCAGATGGACCGATTTAGTATAGTTCGGCCGTCCCAGTTATTGTTGTGTTTCTCCCCAAGTGGTAGGTCGGTCTTGATAGCCCAGTTGTGTGAGCCACCTGGACCAATTATATGATGAAGGAAAAATCCACTCCTGGTATGCGTCAATACCGTTTGGCAGTTTGACAAATACTGTTTGAACGTTTTGGTCTCTATACGTGTAAGGAAGGTAGAGGGGAGGGCAGCCGCCTGTCCAGGGAAGGACAATAGAGGTAGTGCGCTCACAATCTCTGAGGCTGCATGGCCAGCCTAGAAAAGGAGGAATGGGGGAACGTTAGAGGTAAGCAACCTGAAGGAATTGATAACTCTCTTTCTCTCTCTAAAGTGCTCTATCCCCGTTCTTCTTCTTCTTCTTCTCCAAGTGTGCTGACTTGACCGTCAAAGGGTTTATCCGGCAGCACACCGCCAGACAACTCACCATCTTTTTGTTTTCAGGTCAAGCGACGTTACGTGAAACTTGAGTTCAAGGAGTACAGAGAACAGAGGATATTTTACCCCCGTACAATTGGTACCGTCTGGAGGGAAACTTTGACAGACAAACCTTACTCTTCAAGCTTTTCCGACCATTTCCATGGCTAACAATGACGAAACTCCGTTGTCCGTTGTCGATGGTATCACACCAGAGTCTGTCCGACGGTGAGATGGCCCTCCTGCTATTCCAACTATGGCGGGCCTGGAGACCTCTTCCAGAGGTGCGCGAGACAAACGCACAAGGAGCACTGATCACTCGAAGAGTCTAGAGGGTTGCTGACGACAGGGAGAGTCGCATGCTCAGCGCCTGGAGCACAAACTCAGGGACCAGGACGCTCTCATTCGCAAGATGGCAGCTGAAATGGAGGTGCTGAAACGCCAGATCAAGGGGAATGGTGTTGTTAGAGAAGGCAACCACAGTGAACACACCCCACCCCGTTGCTCTGGAAGTTGCGGCCAAGATAGGATGCCCTCTCTCTCTGTCACCAGAAGCTATGGGGTTGGGGACTCCGACCCACAGGTGGGGAGATCTTACACTCGCGACAGCAGCTACTGTCCTTCACGTCCATCGATGACGTCAAGATGCTCTTACTCCACCCGTTCGGGGGACCTGAGGGATGTGTTGGAGGAGCGGGCCCGCCGTAGAGAGACCTAGAGATTGCTAACATTGTAAAGGCTGAGTCCTCAAATCCGTTGTAGTGAGGAAGTGGCAATGCCAGTGCCTAGAGTGATGGCACTAGCGCCGGTGGACAAAGAGCTAGCGAGACTTACTGCAACCCCACTGTCCCCTGAAATCGAGAGCACGCCGCTCCTTTCCAGATTCCACCAACCTAAGTTCACGTTATACGACGACAAGATGGATCCGTACATGCACGTGAGTCATTACCGGCAAGTAATGGCTGGCCACCGGCACAATGACGCCTTAATGTGTCTCATATTCCCAGCAAGTTTGGGAGAACTGGGCCTGAAATGGTTCGAAAGGCTTCCAAAGGAGAGCATCGAGGGATGGCAACAACTAGCAGAGTCCTTCGTCACCAGATTCAAAACCAACACTCGAACACCAAAGGAGATCGACCATCTCCTGAGTGTCAAGATGGAATCTAGAGGCTCTTTGAAGGCATACAAAGCCAAGTACTGGGAAATTTATAATGAGATTCTCGATTGCCCCACCAATCTGGCGATCACCCAATACAAGCGGGGTCTCCCAGTTGGACATAGGCTGCGAGATTCGCTTACGATGGACCAGCCCACAACCATGGAATCCTTGATGCAGCGGATCAACAAACGCATCCAAGTAGAGGATGATGCCGCCACAGCAACCAAGAAGGCAAATCCGGTCACGGTGGACAAAAGAGTAGTAGAAAAGGTTCACTCGGTGGGGCAGGAGGATAACTGCCCAAATGACCGAGCTAAAGACCAACATTGCGGTTCAAACCACAATGATAGGAACGAAGTCGCAGAAACGACCGAGCTAACGCTCCTCGCGATAAAAAGGAAGATGCCAAGAGAAAGTTGAAAGCGTGAACCGGCATCACCACTGTCTTTAAAAGCTCTATTTACCGCATCCTGAGTGAAATCCGAGGTGAACCTTACGTCTGTTGGCCGGCTAAGTTGGGAAACACGTAGAGGGGCTTCAACTCGAGGTACTGCTACACCTTCCATGCAAAAGGGGGCACCAAACGGAGGATTGTGTGTCGCTCAAACAACATTTAGAAGAGCTGGTGGCGGCTGGGCATCTGGACCAGTACATAGACGGGGGTATGAAGGCCGCTCCCCAGGGATAGGCCGAGCTAAACGGCCTTGCTATCCTGGATGCGGCGCCTCAAGGTTTAATCAGTGTCATTCATGGCATCATCGAACCGGCACGAGTTTGCGAGCTGAGGGGGATGATCAAGAAAGCCGAGCACATGAGGGAAGTTCTCTCCGTTCAGCCCACCGTGAAAAAAGGAAAAATCGAGGTAAAAGACATCCTGACCTTTTCAAGCAAGGACTTGGAGAGAATTCAAGTGCCTCATGATGATGCCTTAGTGGTGACCCTTCGCGTCAAGGACTTCAACATCAAAAGAATTCTGATTGACCAGGGAAGTTAGGTCGAGATGATGTATTATGACGTGTTCAAACAAATGAAGTTGGAGGACAAAGACTTGGCTCTAGCAACGTCTCCTTTGGTTGGCTTCAACTCTCAACCGGAATGGCTGATCGGAAAGATCATATTACCGGTTAAAGCAGGATCGGTCACGAAGCAAGTGGAATTTTGGGTGCTTAAGGTCCCATCAACCTACAACTTAATCCTGGACAAGGGCTGGTTGCACGCCATGCAGGCAGTAGCGTCAACTTACCATTAGGTCCTGCGCTTTCCAACGCCAGCCGGACAAGTAGAAGAGGTTTGAGGAGACCAAGTAATGGCAAAACAGTGCTTTGTCGCAGTAAATGGCAGCCAGGCTGCCAAGGGCTTCGTTCAAATGATAGAAGGACCAGAAGGGAAGGAAGTCTTGGAAGACGTGGGAAGAAAGGCCGAGAAGAAATCGGTGGAAGATTTGGTGGAAGTGCGTGTCGATGAAAATGATCCAAATAAGTTCTTTCTTTTGGGATTATCTTTGTCCAGCATCGAACGACTCGATTATGTCAACTTTTTGGTTTCTAATGAAAAATCTAGAAATCCCCTAGATGTTGATTTGTGATTATGTATCAATTTTAAGTAGTAAACAACAATCCCAATCAAACAATCAAGATAAATCGACACAACGATTTTACGTGAAAAAACCCCAATCAAACAATCAAGACAAATCGACACAACGATTTTACGTGGAAAAACACAATTGGACACCTCCAATTGTGATAAAAAAACCACGGGCAACAGTCACAAAACAATCCACTAAGAAGATATAAAGAAATTACACAGGTATACTCTCAATTACCTAGCGAATCCACGCCCGAATTAAACCAACCTCTATGTGTCTCTTCCAACCCCGTCTTCACCTCGGAATTGTCTTGACGATGAGCTACTCCGGAATCCACCAAAGCTTCAGGCTCGAATTCTTCAGAATCCACCGAAGAACAACTCTCTCTTTTGCGTAAAATAAACAAACAAACCTTTGATGTATGCTTCTTCAACCATGAGTTGAATACTCAATGAAAACATCAAAGAAAACTAGCAAAATATCCCCATATATAAACCTTAGAACCCAAAAAGAAGATCTGGAGGAGTAAGTCAAGTTTTGGGAGAAAACCAACTACTTATAAAAATCCAAGGTAATCCTAGTTTTGAAAGAAAACCAATTCCTTATAGAAATCCGAATTTTGAAGCTCGCTCGAGCAAAGCTTCTCTCGCTCGAGCGAGAACCTTAACTCGCATGATTTCCACTAGTGCCTTCGCTTGAGCCACGAACCCTTCGCTCGAGCGACCAATGAGCTCTTTCAGGTTTTTGTATAGACGCAATCCTTCGCTCGAGCGAGCAAGGGCGGACATGCAACTTTGAATGCAATTTTGCATTTTGCTTCGGCCGCGAGCTGACCGGGCAGCTCGACCCCCGTCATAATCAGCGAAGTGGCAATCTTGAAAGCATTAAAATACAAACTTCTCTGCAAGGCTCGATTCGGGTGGTATTCGCATCTAAAACTCATATCCTCACTGAAATACAAGAGCAAATAAAATTACAACAGAAAGGAGTTTTGTCAAACGGGGTTGCCAAGAATAAAACCAGTTTTGGAAGAAAACTAATTCCTTATAGAAATTCGGATTTTGAAGCTCGCTCGAGCGAAGCTTCTCTCGCTCGAGCGAGAACCTTAACTCGCGTGATTTCCACTAGTGCCTCCGCTCGAGCCACGAACCCTTCGCTCGAGTGACCAATGAGCTCTTTCAGGTTTTTGTATAGACGCAATCCTTCGCTCGAGCGAGGACTTCTTCGCTCGAGCGAGCAAGGGCGAACATGCAACTTTGAATGCAATTTTGCATTTTGCTTCGACCGTGAGCTGACCGGGCAGCTCAACCCCCGTCATAATCAGCGAAGTGGCAATCTTGAAAGCATTAACATCACAAACTTCTCTGCAAGGCACAATTCGGATTGGATTCGCATCTAAAACTCATATCCTCACTGAAATACAAGAGCGAATTAAATTACAACTGAAAGGAGTTTTGTCAAACGGGATTGCCAAGAATAAAAACCTAACATCTAACATGAAGGCCTTTGCATGGACGCCTTACGATATGCTTAGCGTCGACCCTAGCTTCATTTGCCGTCAGTTGAATGTCTTTCCGAATGCACGACCGGTCATCCAAAGGATACGGCGCTCGGCCTTGCACCATGCCGAGATAGTGGCAGAAGAGGTTAAGAACTTACTGGAAGTAGGAGCAATAGAAGAAGTGCAGTACCCTAGACGGATCTCTAACATGGTGGTAGTGCCGAAGAAGAACGGTAAATGGCGGGTGTGCGTCGATTATAAGACGGTCAACCGTACGTGCCCAAAGGATAGCTTCCCTCTCCCGAGAATTGACCAGCTAGTGGATCTAACCGCTGGCCATCAGAGGTTTAGCTTCCTGGATGCATATTGTGGCTACCACCAGATAGTCATGTACGGACCAGACTGAGAGATCACTTCGTTCACCACTCAAAAAGGCCTGTACTGTTACAAGGTCATGCCATTCAGACTGAAAAATGCCGGGGCAACTTTTCAAATGATGGTAACCAAAATGTTCGCTCCCCTTCTTGGTCGCACTATGAAGGATTATATCGATGATATGGTTGTAAAGAGCAAGAAAAAGTCTCAATACCTCGCCGACCTAGCAGAGATGTTCGCCATACTTAAACATCACAAGTTGCGTTTAAATGCCTCCAAGTGCGCCTTCAGAGTTGGCACCGGAAAATTTCTAGGTTTTTTGGTCACGAATCGAGGAATCGAAGCTGACCCTTCCCAGATTAAGGCGATACAAGAACTGGAGCGTCCATACTCCACGAAGGACGTGCAACATCTTGCCAGGATGGCAGCTGCGCTGAACCGATTTATCAGCCAGTCTTTAGATCGTTACAGGCCCTTCTTCAAAACTTTAAAGGCCAAGTTCTTTTGGGATGACGAATGCGACCGTGCATTGGCGGATCTAAAAATGTACATTTCCTCAACCCCAATCCTAGTCACACCGAAACCGAGCGAAGAATTGCATCTCTACTTGGCAATTTCTCAACACGCGGTGAGCGTCGTCCTCGTTCGCGCTGAGGATATCCAGCACCTCTCCATCTTCTACGTAAGCAAGACCCTGCTTCCGGCTAAATCAAGATATATGCCGCTAGAAAAATTGGCCCTGGCCCTCATGATGGCTTCCAGAAAGCTGGCGCACTATTTTTATGCCCACACAATAGTTGTGCTAACCGAATTTCCACTTAAGGTGCTCTTTGAAAAGGCAGATTTTATCGGTAGAATTTTGAAATGGGCCGTGAAATTAGGGCAATACGATATCAAGTTCCAATCGCGCACTGCTATCAAAGCTCAAGCTCTTGCCGACTTCGTGGCAGAATTTGCCCCTAGAACACACCCTGTTTACCCTGTCGATTTGGCTAGCGCGGATTTGGCGCAGCCTACGGCTCAGACAGTAGAAACAAGTGGTGAACAACAAGTGGCAGAAGGGCAAGAGAAAGCCGAGCAAGAAATGAAAAGCCGACCAACTTGCCAAAATACCAGCTCGACAGAGACATAGAAAGAGACTAGAATGAGCCGACCAATACCTTAGAGTTGAGAAACTCTCAAAATCCCTCCGACTGTTGGAGACTACCAAATTATTGCTCCTTGAAGTGGGTCCAAAAGACCTTACTTATCTGAGTCCACATCCTCTAGAGTTATTTTTCGTATACTAGTTTTGGAGTGATTTTTTGTGTAGTTGAATTTCTTTTTTAATGTAATTATTAATAGGTTTGTACCATCAACATATTATTATACTTTCAATTTTTATAAAATTAAATTTTAATCATACAAAAAATCATTCTAAATTCACCCTACCAAAAATCAATCTAGAGATTAAGATTCTAATTTTTTTTTTAGGAAAATCCTACTGTACATGCCCCTTGAAAGGGTGTACCATATATACTCTTAATTATATTATTTTCTTCCTTAGTTATAATTATTATTTTTTAATTATGATAATATTTTAATTGTAACTCATGAGATCTTTAATTATATATCATGTGATATTTGATTATAATTTTTTTAACCATAATTTAAAAATATATAAAATTAAATTATTTTTTAAATTATAAAATATATATAATACACTCCGTTCCCAGCGACGAAAAGACGCAGAATTATCCTCTACTACTAGCCAACAACAACACGCCTTTCAACTTCGTTTCCAGACAAATATTTAGCTCTCTAGAGCTCTCGTCACTTCACTCGTGTATCTCTCTCTCTCGTCCACTATCCAAATGGATCCACTCTATACATATATGAAAAATTACTAATAGATAATTCTCATTAAATTTTATTAAAAATAAATTTTAATAAAATTATCATTAAGTTTTAATAAAATTTGAAAATTAATGATTTTTTTTATAATTTTTATAAATTATCGGTACTACTTAGTACTTACAATTAATAACGTTTTTTAATACAAATCTTTTAAATTATAATTTAAAATTAAAAATTAAAAATTTTTTTGTGACAATTTTTTAAAATTTATAATTAATGATTTTTTTATGATAATTTTTAAATTGCCAATTAAAATTAATAATTAATGATATTTTTTAATAATATGCAATGAAAAAAACCATTAATGATAGTCCCCCTATATATATATGGCTTGGTTTGGAAAGTTAGTTGACTTTTTAATTTTTTGAATTTTTTTTTGCTATTTTAACCTGATATTAAAAAGTCTGGTTTAAGGACTTTTGACTTTTTTTTATTTTGTTAACTTTTTCGTAAAAGAAATAATGTAATGATTATGGATTAAATATGATGTTTTATCTTGTTAAACTAAAAAACCTATTTTATTTTTATTTTTTTATTTGGACTATTTTGGCTTCAAAACCACTTTCCCTATATATGATGTTTTGTTACTCTCTCGCTCTAGCCCCCATAACAACCCCAACTCCGCTCTTTCTCTCTCTATACAGTCTTGTTACTCTCTCGCTCTAGCCCCCACAACAACCCCAACTCCGCTCTCTCTCTCCATACAGTCTTGCAGGTTGCAGATACATATATATATATATATATAGAGAGAGAGAGAGTAATGGAGTTCGAGGATGGGTTGTTGATAATTACAAATTCAATCTCTATTAATGCAACAGTGGTCTTGTGGGCACTCCAGCATTTCTCTGTTGCCCTCACGAATTTCAGGATCATTACTCAGGCCTCTCTTCTTGGTCAGTACTTAGCCCTAGACACTTCTTTCTTTCTCTGTGTGTGTGTGTGTGTGTGTTTTTTTTTTTTTAAAAAAAAAAAAACTAATTTCAATTTTCTACAAGTTCTTTGTCACTGTTCTATTCATTTATTCGACTATAGGGTTTTGATCTTTATGTGTTATGATCTTGTTTGGTTCCTAAGAAAAGTTGGGAAAAGGAAATAAATTATAAAATTTAGAATCAGGGGAACATGATTAGTGCCCGAGTCAAGAAAAACCTACACTTCACTATATCCTCTTGGGGTAGATTATTTTTTTTTGGAGAAAAAAAATTAAATATCAGATTTCAATTTTAAAAAACAGTGAACGTAATGGAAAGAAAGATAGCAATACTTTGAGTTATCCAAGTTGCTTGGAGACCAAAGGGAGGATTAGCTGCAGTTCTAATTGTTTTAGAATTTTCTATTATTTCCCTCAAATATCTTGGCAACTAAATGGATGGTTAGCTTCTTATGTAAGCTTGGAAATTGAGGTGTTTTAAGGTGTGTGGGCAGTTGGAGATAAGTAAGCTGGTAAAGGGAACCTTATGGGAAATACTATGGCGATTGATGTAATTGGATCATTGAAGATGGGCCGGGTGAGCAGTAGAGGTGGTCTTGGGAGGTGAGGGAGAGAGCAACAATAGAGGTAGTGGAGATGGAGAGCCAGATCCTAGGGGTTGGGGAGAGATTGCTTCTTGCAAGGAGACAAAGCAGATGGAGGCTCACTATTTGTAGGAGTAGCCAAACCATGGAACTCGGTATATCACAAGTGCTGAAGGCATGTGGTCGAGGGACAAGTGACTGGCTCTCTACATGGTCTAACATTTCTTAGTGGAACGACCCCAATTAGTAGTAGTGGAGATGGTGAAACCAATATGTTCTCAGTTGTAAGAGTAATGGGGCAAGCTCGTTGGGTAGGAGCACACCACATATGTTTGTCATAATCTAGAGCTGTCTTTATGTAAGATCTCGCTATTTCTATTTCGGAAGACCAATCAAGGTATTAGTCCCTCGAGGGAAGATGGGATGAGCACCTTGACAAACCCTGAACTCACAAGTGACTGGCTCTCTACATGGTCTAACATTTCTTAGTGGAATGACCCCAATTAGTAGTAGTGGAGATGGTGAAACCAATATTTTCTCAGTTGCAAGAGTAATGGGGCAAGCTCGTTGGGTAGGAGCACACCACATATGTTTGTCATAATCTAGAGCTGTCTTTATGTAAGATCTCGCTATTTCTATTTCGGAAGACCAATCAAGGTATTAGTCCCTCGAGGGAAGATGGGATGAGCACCTTGACAAACCCTGAACTCCAACCATTCTTGAGGGAACCCTAGGCTCTGCTTTCGACTTAGGCAAGTGTGGGAGCATCATGGTGCCATTGGAAAATGAAGTGTACATCATAGGAGTACACTCAAGCAAAAAATTCACTCGGCCAAAACGAGGGAGGTCCAAGCATATTGGCGTAAGTGAAGATGGGCATTCTTAGGCAAAAACTCAAGTCAATCAAGAGAGGAAAACTAAGCTCTCTAGGAGGCTCCTTGGATATTGCCTCAGAATGCCTTGGCTTGAGACTAATGTAACTTGCACGTTAGCTTCGGGCAGATGAAAGCTATCATGGAGGGAGGATTTACTCGTGGTGAGATCCCATCAGTCCATGTTTCACCTCATGAGGCTGACACATGAGAACAAGTTCAGTAGAGGAGGTGATGTGCCTTCTACATGGGTTGCCATGTGGACCTAAAAGGTGATCATGTAATTCCAAGGTTTGAATTTCACAATTTTTTGTTTTATTCTCTTCTTTCTTTTGTTTTTTGTTTCGTTGTGTGTGTGTGTGTGCGTGTGGAAGTTGTATTTCAAAGTTATGTCTGTTTGATTTAGTAATAATGTGGAATCTGCTTCTAATAATGTTTGTATCTATGTTTTTTAGTGCAGAAGGAAGCCTTTATTTTAAGTCATCTTCATTGTCTACTATTATTTGAGTCTCAGAGAAGCCTGGTTTTCACACCCAACTATGGCTATCAGAATTGGCCAAAGTGCTTAAGCCTGGAGGCAATGTGTTTTTACAGGAACCATCCTTCTTCTACAGGAACAAAGTTCTTGTAAGTTTTACTAAGATATAATACTTGGTGTGCTTTTGCTTTCTTTTATCCTCCGCAATTCTAAATTATTGTTGATGTGGATCTCTAATTTTAGGTTTTGGAGGAGTCGAGGGCTTGTTTAGAGCGGAACCTTTTATTTGCAGGGTTTTATGCAATTGAGGAATTTGAATGCCTTGATCACTTAGCTGAAATCGATTGTACGTCTCAAGATTTTGAGTTACTTACGGTGATCCTTTCAACTTACAATACTAATTACTTAATTTTGTTAGCTTTTTATTATTATTACCGAATATAAAAGTGGTCGATTGATGTCATTGCCTTGCATGGGGTGTGTAGAAATTTAATGTATAAAGAGAAATGATTGTATTATTGATTGTTATGTTGATCTTTTTATTACAATGATTCATGATTCCTATATATAGAAGAGGGTGAGTGTGTAGTAGGTGAGGAGTAGGTGAGGAGTAGGTGGAGAGTAGGTGAAGTAGGTGAGTGTGTAGTAGGTGGTAGTGGTAGGTGTGTAGTAGGTGAATTTTAACAGCCCCCGCAAACTCAAGGGGGATAGGAACTAACCAACTTGAGTTTGGAGAGAGTAACAAAACAAGAAAATACATAAAAATAAAAGAGGATAGGAGACACTGTATGGTCGTGTCAGACCATTGGTGAAGACACTGGATGGTGGTGTCATAACGTTGTAGAGGACACTGTATGGCGGTGTCAGACCGATGTAGAAGACAGTTTATGGGGTCATGTCATAAAGAGATTAGAAACACACTAATTCTCTTCTCTAGTTCTGTGTGTTTGTGTGTTTTTTTTTTTTTTTTTTAAAAAAAAAAAAAAACTAATTTCAGTTTTCTACAAGTTCTTTGTCACTGTTCTATTCATTTATTCGACTATAGGGTTTTGATCTTTATGTGTTATGATCTTGTTTGGTTCCTAAGAAAAGTTGGGAAAAGGAAATAAATTATAAAATTTAGAATCAGGGGAACATGATTAGTGCCCGAGTCAAGAAAAACCTACACTTCACTATATCCTCTTGGGGTAGATTATTTTTTTTTGGAGAAAAAAAATTAAATATCAGATTTCAATTTTAAAAACAGTGAACGTAATGGAAAGAAAGATAGCAATACTTTGAGTTATCCAAGTTGCTTGGAGACCAAAGGGAGGATTAGCTGCAGTTCTAATTGTTTTAGATTTTTCTATTATTTCCCTCAAATATCTTGGCAACTAAATGGATGGTTAGCTTCTTATGTAAGCTTGGAAATTGAGGTGTTTTAAAGTGTGTGGGCTGTTGGAGATAAGTAAGCTGGTAAAGGGAACCTTATGGGAAATACTATGGCGATTGATGTAATTGGATCATTGAAGATGGGCTGGGTGAGCAGTAGAGGTGGTCTTGGGAGGTGAGGGAGAGAGCAACAATAGAGGTAGTGGAGATGGAGAGCCAGATCCTAGGGGTTGGGGAGAGATTGCTTCTTGCAAGGAGACAAAGCAGACGGAGGCTCACTATTTGTAGGAGTAGCCAAACCATGGAACTCAGTATATCACAAGTGCTGAAGGCATGTGGTTGAGGGACAAGTGACTGGCTCTCTGCATGGTCTAACATTTCTTAGTGGAATGACCCCAATTAGTAGTAGTGGAGATGGTGAAACCAATATGTTCTCAGTTGTAAGAGTAATGGGGCAAGCTCGTTGGGTAGGAGCACACCACATATGTTTGTCATAATCTAGAGCTGTCTTTATGTAAGATCTCTCTATTTCTATTTCGGAAGACCAATCAAGGTATTAGTCCCTCGAGGGAAGATGGGATGAGCACCTTGACAAACCCTTAACTCCAACCATTCTTGAGGGAACCCTAGGCTCTACTCTCGACTTAGGCAAGTGTGGGAGCATCATGGTGCCATTGGAAAATGAAGTGTACATCATAGGAGTACACTCAAGCAGAAAATTCACTCGGCCAAAACGAGGGAGGTCCAAGCATATTGGCGTAAGTGAAGATGGGCATTCTTAGGCAAAAACTCAAGTCAATCAGGAGAGGAAGACTCAGCTCTCTAGGAGGCTCCTTGGATATTGCCTCAGAATGCCTTGGCTTGAGACTAATGTAACTTGCACGTTAGCTTCAGGCGGATGAAACTTATCATGGAGGGAGGATTTACTCGTGGTGAGATCCCATCAGTCCATGTTTCACCTCATGAGGCTGACACATGAGAACAAGTTCAGTAGAGGAGGTGATGTGCCTTCTACATGGGTTGCCATGTGGACCTACAAGGTGATCATGTAATTCCAAGGTTTGAATTTCACAATTTTTTGTTTTATTATCTTCTTTCTTTTGTTTTTTGTTTCGCTCTGTGTGTGTGTGTGTGTGTGTGTGTGGAAGTTTTATTTCAAAGTAATGTTTGTTTGATTTAGTAATAATGTGGAATATGCTTCTAATAATGTTTGTATCTATGTTTTTTAGTGCAGAAGGAAGCCTTTATTTTAAGTCATCTTCATTGTCTACTATTATTTCAGTCTCAGAGAAGCCTGGTTTTCACACCCAACTATGGCTATTAGAATTGGCCAAAGTGCTTAAGCCTGGAGGCAATATGTTTTTACAGGAACCATCCTTCTTCTACAGGAACAAAGATCTTGTAAGTTTTACTAAGATATAATACTTGGTGTGCTTTTGCTTTCTATTATCCTCCGCAGTGCTAAATTATTGTCGATGTGGATCTCTAATTTTAGGTTTTGGAGGAGTCGAGGGCTTGTTTAGAGCGGAACCTTTTATTTGCAGGGTTTTATGCAGTTGAGGAATTTGAATGCCTTGATCACTTAGCTGAAATCGATTCTACATCTCAAGATTTTGAGTTACTTACGGTGATCCTTTCAACTTACAATACTAATTACTTAATTTTGTTAGCTTTTTTATTGTTATTACTGAATATAAAAGTGGTCGATTGATGTCATTGCCTTGCATGGGGTGCATATTCACCTAGCCAGTTCCTAGGCATGCACTGTTAGCTTTGTGATCACCCGAATGTGATATAAACTACACATGATACTTGGTGGTATGTTGCCAACAGTACAACAATACACAATTCCTCTGGCTGATGAGGGAAAAGAGTGCCCTCGTGACAAATGTGATTTTATTGGCAAGCATTTTTCCTTGGAAGGGTCTTGATAATGTCACTGTGGAATGGGCTTATTGACCTGAACCTAATTACTTAATGAGTGAATCCCATCCCACCCCAGAATAGAACACTGTAGCAACTCTGCTTAATGTACTTGATCTTCAGTGGTTTTGATAAACCTGCTGAAATTGCTGTTACAACATTAAAACTTCAACAGAAGAAAATTTCATGTTTTTTAAGAGATTTCAACCATTCCCAAGGTAACACTAATCAAAATTTTAAACCTTTTTTGATCCATCTGTAGTTGCGCAACTCATATTCTTTAAAGTTACTCTATCAAGGAGATTCTTATCTGCCCAATGCCCATGTCCCCACAGAAGTTTAGTGTTTTGGAAACTTGAATCACTGCATTTTGAGATAAAGTAGTCCTGATCGATAATTGTAAATTGTAATCTTTGTTTATGACTGGTAAAGTCAAAGCATGAAGAAACCAGTCACTTAATGAAATTCCTTGTTGAGGTGACTTGAGGAAGGAAGTTAATGTAATGGTGGCAAGTATACCATCATTTATGCTCTATTTGGCTAATCAAAACTAGAGACTGGTAAAAAAATCTCATTCCGAAGCCAAGTGACACTTCTTGTCAAGCCCAGGTTGTTGTTCCTCTCACCCGTGTAAATGCATGCATTATTGTAGACTCATCTTTTGATAGAATGTGCAGATTACACCATAAATTTGTGCAAGAAAATGCTAATTTATTATACTTGGTCTGTGGATATTTATTTCACAAGGATGCTTTCTCCTCTGTCAATTCTATGCCAGTTGTTTTATTTTCCCTTTTCTTATTTTTACCTTTTGATCTTTCAAGATTAATTTTGTTTTGTGTACATTTGTTGTGACCTAAAGTTACTTGCTGGGTATGAAGCATGAGTACTATAAAAATATTTCTGTATGAATACCAACCGATACTGTTACACATACTCCAGCCGTGCCTCTGCCCTTTTTTTTTTTTTTAAGAATTTACCATATCGGTGTACCCACACCCGTAACTACAACCGTGCTTCCTAGCCTGCTGGTCATTTGATCTTTAGACTGTTCTGGGTTTAGAATCGTGGTAGACATTTCATCCAATAGGAAGCTCAAATCTCTAGGCAAAATACAATATTTGGTCATGTTTTTTACTTCTCATTCTTTATTAATTTTTTATTGTTGAATTTTGTTCTGTTCATTTAGGATGGATGATGTTTATTGTGATATTGTTGAGTGTGCAGATCAAAGCCAAAAAAACATATGATACTGTGGAAGTTTTTTCTGTTCAGAAGGCACAAATGCACAAAGCAGAAAACTCTATGATTGTAGTAGATGGCACATCACAACAACAGATTGAGGATTTTGATGACTTAATTGACAAAGATACTTTGTTTATAGCTGAAGATTCAAAAATGCCTGAGTTGCTGCAAGGTTGGATTTTTTGGACATTATTGTTAGGCACTTCATATGCCATCCCAATGATTTTTATGAGTACCATAAAGCTTATCAAACCTAAAATATTTTTTAAAAAAAAAATAAAAACAAAAATTGTGCATCATTTCTAATTCTTTTTAGTTTCTTCATTTCCTTTATCTAAATTTTATGGTTTCATTAAAATTCAAAGTAGCATTATTTGATACATGAGTGAAGTATATGCTCGTATAAAGTGAGTCTTGTTTTTGCATTTTGGGTATGTTTGATTAATGCTTTCAAAAAAGAACTATTTTAGATAAACTTGTGTATTTTCTAATAGCAGTGAACCATCTATACCCTGTCGTGGTTTTTACTGCCTTCAGTGAACCAAATGAAAACATGTGTTGCATGATTTCAAAATAAATCAGATACATGTGTTGGACATCCAACAAATAAAGGTGTGGGATATGTGTTCGACACTTTTTATATATTTATATGTAACATTATATGTATATATTATTTTATAATTACTATAAAATAAGTAAAATAACTTTTTTATATTGTATATTAATATTACATATCTTCAACAAGAGATCAAAAATTAAAAATACTTGTTTTTTTTTTTTTTTTTTTTTTTGAGTCTGTCTCTTAATTTTGAGGTTTGATAGGTTTAATAATTATGTTCATTAAACTTACTTTCCTTCTTATGTTATTATATTAGATGAAAGTTATCCTGCTTGGGAACGAATACGTGAAAGAAATCGTCTCTATTAGCGCAGATGCCGAGCACGAATGACAGAAGAGCAAAAGAACCGTGAAAAGGAGAAGAGAAGGCAGTATATGCAGAGTCGCAGAGTTCAGCCTGTAAGTTATGAAATGCCCCTTTCTACACCAGTTAGTTACCAAAGTGCAAAAGAAAGTGAACAAAGGCTACGTTCTGGCCAGCAGCTTCAAGAATCTCACATCATTGAAATATAAAACAAAAACAAAAAAACACGGCGTGGGAGGCAGGTGAAGCTTCGTAGTTGAGTGAATATAAGTAAGTCCGAGTGCTGGTAACAACTAAGTCACTTCTATCCAATTATCGACTTTGCTTCTGACTTTTTAACACGTGGACAAATATAAAGTGAAAATAGTTCTGGCAACCGAAAATAGTTTACCTCATATCACTTGTACAATTTAGCATAGATAAGGGAGTTATTCAAGATTGATCTGGGTTGTAGACACCCCATTTTTGACCGTCCTCAAGACTTGGACGTCACCGCTCGAACACTCGGTGATTAATCATGTTTGTGTTTCGTTTTGAGTTCCCGAAGGTCTCGGCTACGCGCCTTGCCTCAGGATCTCTCAACTCGACTGTTCTGTGTTTGGTTTTGCACCAAACACTTGTGTTTTTGCTTCCGAGGGTAGGAAGTAGCTTCTTAGCTACCCCTGACACCCACCGGCCTTGGTTTGAGCCCACCGGCCATATTTTGAGGCTACTGGCCATTGGTGAATTACACCATTGGCCGGTCGGCACTCAGTATGGCCGGTGACCTCCTTTTCTGGCCGGTAGCACCTTTTTACCTTTTTCAGGCATGGTGCATGCCAGCTGTGCCAGCTGGAATGCACCAAACCTGCCCCGGGGCATACAGGTGGCTGTTTTGTCATTTTTGCACCCTTTTGGTCAAAGCTTCCTCAAGAAGCTTGCCAGTTGTCCTAGCTTCCTCAGGAAGCCTTGCACCCTTAGCTTGGCTTCCCTTGTAAACCTTGACCCTTTTGAGTAGCTTCCCTTAGAAGCTTTGGCCAATTACGTTGCCTATATAAGAGCCCCTCCTCCTCCTTTGTTAGGTTCAGCAAAAAACCAGAGCTACACACATATATATCTGATACATATCATCCTCTCTATATCTCCCTCTCTCTCTTCATTTTGTGTGTGTTTGAGGGCTTAAAGTGTGTGTTTGTTCTTAGTTTTGCACACAAACACACACCATTACACCTTACTTCGAATTTGAGGGGCTTCGGGGGTTTGTTCTTGAGGTTTTGGACCGGTTTTGATCAAGAGAAGAAGGCTGCACTTGTTGTTCATCAAGGGTTCTTCAAGGGTAACTCTTTTACTTTAGATTCCCCAATCTTGCATTAAACTTTTGCCTATCTTGCTCATTGTTTTAGACTTTGTGTGTAATTGAAAAAAGTCTTGTATTTGCATGCTTAAGATATCTCATTAAGGTTGTTTTGGCATTAGGGGTCGACCTCCCCTTCTTAGGCCTTGTTTGGCCCCTTTTTGTGCTTCCTTTATTAAGTTTTGTTTTCTTTGGTGCATTAGCCTTCTCACCACTGGAATCCAGTGGATTTTCAGTGGTGAAGAAGGGGGTTTGAGGTCTTGCATAGGGAAGGGACACCCCTCTCTCTTGGTCTCTCATTTTGTTCATGTTTTGGCTCATAAGGGTAACATGTATGCTTGGTTGCATTTGGCCCCATTTCATAAGTTTTTGGATGTTATTTGGTCACTTATTGCCTCTGTTTTTGGTCAGATTTGTGGTCCCTTACATGCATAGTATACTTGCCTTGCATTCCTCCATTTTGCATAGAAGTAAGCCATGCATTTAGGCCATGATTCTTGCATGCTCTAGCTTAACTCCATGAAAGTCTTAGCATTATTTTGCCATGCTCAAGGACTGTTGGGGGCTGTTTTAGTTATATTTGCCATGTTTAGGGTAGCCTCTTTGCATTTTGGCTTTTGAGCCTTGAGCATGTGGGTCTCTAGCATGCTTAGCCTAGCTTATTCTAATGATTTGGAATCATTGGGGACCATGTTTCAGTCCCCAAACCATGTTTATATGCCTGCATTCATCACCTCTTTCATGCTTTGAAGATGCGTCCTTTTATGCCTTGGAATGAGCATTGTGCATGGCTAAGTGTTTAAGCCTTCGGGGCTGCCATATCAGAGGGTTTTAGGACTTATTTCAATGCATCTAAACTCTGTTTTTGGTTGTATAGCTCATGCCATGTTGGCTTGGGGTAGTGGTAGTAGAATACTCCTTGGTTATGCCTTAATCTTGGGCCTATTGGTGTGTATGGTTACATGAGTATTTGTTCATCATTTTAGGCATCTTTTGTCACTGTTTTGGGAGTGGGTTGAGGTCTGCCCTTTGTGTCTTAGGTCCACCATTGCATGATCATGTTGCATTGGTTTCATGTTTGCATTGTATCATACTTGCATGCTTGCATATTATTAGCTAGTTGCATTTCATGTCTTAGCTTACATGTTTGATTGCATTGCATTGTATCTTACATGCCTAACATTGTACATTTGCATTGTACATTTGCATGTTTAGCTTGCATCACATTTGGCATGTTTTGCATCTTAGCCTCATGTTGCATAGTTGAGCCACATTTGCATACATACATTGCATTTTTGGTTTGGGGTATCAAACCAAACATGAGAATTGAGATGCGTTCGTACTCAAAGTGACGCAACGCACCTCGATCCTTGGTCGCTGACCCCCTTGACCTCAACATGATAGGGTGTTAGCATTCATGTGTTTTGTTTACATGCATTTACATTAAGTTGCTAACTTGGCCTCTCAGGCCATCATGCATCAAAATGCGTAATTGATGGCCCGGGGGTCGAGGGTCATGCTCCCTTGAATCCCTTGCATGATAGAGAGTGTGTCCATGCTCACATTTGTTTGACAATTCCATGCCATACACTGCTTGCCCTCTGCTGCTGTCAGCTGCAGGTTTCAGTAGGAAGAATTGGCCGGCCGACAGTGTTGGGTGCCGACTGGCAAAACATGTTTGGCCGATAGCTTATTCAGTGGCCGGTGATCATCCCCTCCAGCCGGTGGCATTTCTACTTGGTCGGTGGTATCCCCCAGCATCCAAAGAGCATACCCTTGGACTTTGGCAGTCCTCAGAGGAGCAAGGCAGTGTTAACAGAGGCAACAGTGCTATGGCAGCGAGTTTCCGGGCGAGACGAGTCAAGCATGCATCATTCACGCATCCCGAGGCGGGGCTGCGGCCATCTTTCTTCTGCATTTAATTTGTTAATTAATTAGAAATTTTTGTAATTAATTATTTAGCTTGAGAGTTAATTAATTAGGTGGTTTGTAATATTTATTCGGACCCTCCGAGTGAGGGCAATTGTGTAATAAGTGTGCGTGAGTGTGTGTATGTTTCCCAACCCCACGTCTTTCTTCCCTTTTATTTACTAGCTTTCGATGGTTAGCCTAGGGCATGTTTCAATTAGCATACAGTATGATAGCATGCGTGCATCCATACATTTGTCTTACATGCACCGGGCTCGGTGCATCATACTAACTGTATTTGTATTTCAATTCCAAAGTTGAATACATGTTAGTTGTAGCATCATCACATGCCATCTTAGAATAGCCGAGCCTATTGTAGTTGCATCTTGTATGTGTTGCATTAGCCATCTTAACATGAGCTAGGATCATGCATTGATTACTATCTAGTTTTTGTTTTGGCTCGGAGTACTAGGTAAGCATTTATGCTTTAGCATACCAGATGCGTGTGAGCGTTGCCATAATAGCATGATTACCATGAGACTAGCTACTTATGTGATATAAATTGCTTGAGTGCCTGTGGGTGGAGGTCGAATTACCTAAATTGGAATAATGCATTAAAACTGTGAGTTTTAAGCCTACTAGATAGTGGCAAAACCATTTTTTCTAAAGCCCACTTGAGGGTGGCAAAACCTGCATTTTAGCCTACATACGAGTAGCAAGCCATTTTTTTAAAAACAAGCATGAAATGTTTTGTTCCAATTTAGGCGATTTGGTCTATACTTGTTTGCTGTGCGCATAACATAGTAATCCTAGGCTAATAACCGGAATAAGAACACATAACGTTTTCAAAAACGGATATCACGGTTAGTAGAGGCCGATCTTCGGATCGGGCGAGAGGGGTTGCTCATAGCTGACCTTCCCCCAATCGTACCCAAGCTCCCGAGCCGAGGCAACTTTGGTGATGACGGACACGTGGCCTTTGGCACCGAGTCAGGGTTTCCTAAATTTCCCATAAAAAAATATTTAGGTGGCGACTCTGTATCTGGCAAAGCAGTCCATGTTTGGCACTTCTTTCAAAAAAAATCTGTTTTCAAAACGATTTACCAGATCTGGACTCTTTGATGATTCATCGGTCTTGCATTGCACTCTGCGAGATTAGATACAAGACCGTGACACCAAATTGAGTCCGAACTGTAGCATGAGGCCCGAGGGCGCGTTTACAGTTTCTGGCGACTCTGCTTGGGATTTAGAGAGCTTGACTCGAATTCGTGATATCCTGTTATGATTTCATTTATGTGTCTCTTTGCATTGCATGTGCATTGGTGCGCCTAGGACACTGTGTTTGCCATTTTCCATTCCTGAACGGTTTGCCGGAGGCTTGACTTTGTCAAAGCATGCCATAAGGCTGACCGGTTGTAGGCTCTGACAGTATGGGAACACAAACTCCGGTTTTACCGGGGCACCCTTTTCAACCATTCGACCTAGTACATATCAAAATCCATAGTGACTATTCCAAACTAGGACAAGATGCTTACCCGATGTTAGGTTGTTTGAAAACTGCTGCGTGCATAGTGAAACCCTAGCTCCTGACAAAAATAGGACAGGGAAACCCTACCCCAACTTAGGGGTGTTTTGGCTCTCTTTTACTTGCTACGTGTTTTTAGAATGTATCTATGCAGGGAACACATATATCAGTTCGCAAGTCTGAGTGTCAGGCCTACGGGCATCAGTGTTTTTGGGAATCAGTCATCTACAGGTATTAGATTCAGACTTAGGGGCAACGATTTGGAAACAGTGATTAGTGATTAAGGAACAGTACATTCAGCTTGTTGGCAATTTGTTGTGATACCCAGCTGTGTGTTGCGTTTATTTTACGTTGTTACGCTGTCTAATTGTCTGTTTATTTATACGCTTTATTCATCTTTTTACTAGGTAGTCGAGCACAATTGCTTATGACCCAGTAAATATTCCCCAAGCACTCTGGATTAGAGGTCGTCCACTCCATCGATCTGAGGATCTGGTACACGGACAACCAGTGTACCACTCTCTACCCCCGGTTACTAGACGGAGGACAGCTAGGCAGAGGGCATCAGTCAACAGTCAGTACAGAGGGCTTTGTCTACCCCACCTGTGTACAGTAGGGATCAGGATTCTGCTTCTCCCACAGAAAGGGAACA